GACTACTTATCGCAATTTTTACGGGTCACTGGTTAAGAACAGAACATCAGGCGGCTGGCGCGACGGATCTCCTTTAATTGAATCAGTGGGAATGCTATACCCGCCCAGTGGGAGATAAGCGGACATTTTTAACTAGTATGCCTACTTACTTTGTTTAAAAATGAATACTTCGTCCGCTTTCGGGACTGAGTAAACAAACAGGCAACCCTTTTTTTTCAGCAAAAGCTTTCAGGGCATTGTGAATAATTTGTTGGCTCCGGAAATTATATACATTTTAATGGGTATTTATTCCCTTTTTAGAATCTTTAGGGATAAATGCTTATGGGTATTTTGGCGTTAATGTGTATTTTTAGAGTGAAAAGTTGTCTTTTATATAAGACTGGATTTCATAAATGATTTTAGACCAGACAAATAAAAACTTAATCATTGTTTTAAGATGTCAAGTTTAGCATTGGTAAGGTGTTTTTGATTAACTTTAACTATATCTACGCGGAATAGTTGTAACTGATGCATTTCTTTTTCATTATATAGTGCGATTCAAATAAGAATAGGAAAGCAATGACCTCCATCTGTCAAATGTCGCTTGAAAAGTACGGTTTGCAAAAAAATCTTGGAACACTTATTCAACACACAGCTAATTCTAGAATAAAAACCATAAATTTGTAAACAAACAATAACAAATATTGATAAATTAATATTGGTTGATATTTTTTTTCATTTATTGAGCTTTGGCTATGAATGGTTGATAACTTAAACCGTCAACCAACTGTCACTTTTTTTCTCAATCTTAGTAAATAAATTATAATAATAAAATCTGATGTTTTTTCTCACTTAATCTTAGTTAGAAGTTTCATTAAATAAAATCTTTTTTTAATAAATAAATAAAATAAAACCTATTTGGTTTGAATTGACAGCTATGACGTCACAATATGGCGCCCAGTCAATCCTATTCTAAGTTGAATCGCATTATACTTTCACTTTTAGTCTAGTATGGGAATTCAGTATTTATTCAAATATTTGAATGACTAGACATAATTTAACGATACTAACCTAAGCGTCAATATTTTAAAACTTTTGTAATTACATACTCAAGCAATAGAAATTAATTACTATTATTATAGTCGTTTATGGTAACAAATTATAAGCTATACTTTTAATACAGTATTTATGCTTTCATTTTATAATAAGTACTTGCGTGGCCCATTATTGCGGTAGGTACCAATGCGTAAAACAATTTTCAATTTAGAAGGGTAAAATTCGATTAAGTTGGAATAAAGCGTTCGTTGTAAACACCAGCAGAGGGTATACAAAGGCAATTTGGCCAACACATTACGCTAAAAATATTGAATTGTTATCACAAAGAAGGGACTCATTTAACCCGACTCGCATTTTAATCACTATTTCTTTGAAACCAATGGTGTTTAATAAAAATATTTCAGTTAATAGATTGGAAACACGCATTTACAGACACAGAATGACTTGCATCATTTACAAGTTCTGGCTGATATTACTCTGTCTCATGCATTCTCTATTATAATAATTATATCTATGTACAAATTATAAATAAGAAAATATTATCTATAAAAATAGAATGTCTGGATATGTAACTTATGTATACCTATTTTGTCCTATGTCTATCTTCACGCTGCGTCCAGTGTGGAATAGGCAGGGAGAATAGAATTTAAAGAGAGGTAGGGCACAGCGGATTTTCCGCTCGAGTTGGAGCGCCCGTCTGGGGAAGCAATCTCCACTTTACAGAAAACCACAGTAAAATGATACTTTTAAAGCCAAAACACACAGAAGCCGGAGGCAGAGCGAAAGCGTCGACGGTTTTTTGTATAATTCGAATGAGGATCCGTAATGATTTTAGTTTAGAATGCAGGATTATAGAGCTAAAGATTCCATAAAATAAAGTGGTAAAATTTTTGTTCTACGACAAATATTGACGAAGTTATGACAAATTACTAAATGAATTTTCAGCTTGCCGCGTAGTGGCTGTAACGTCACAGAGCTCTAGAGCTCGGGCGCGAGCGTGCGTATGTACGCTACTGAAGTTCAACCGGAGTGAACCACGATCGAGATCTGTGAACTCACACGTTTCAGCCGCCGGTGAATATTGGCTACCATAAAATTAGTTATAAAATCGCAACGAATTAACCGATTTTGACGATTTAAAAAGTATATTATTTAAATAGTTTATGAGATCATTATACTGTGATTTTGAGTTGATTTGCTGACCTAGTAATGATCCGCATTAGTATGAAGTACTACACACACAAACCGTAGCAGGGCGGCGACACAAACAGGCGGCGTGCGCGGCGCGTGGCGGAGGCGGGGCGGTGCGGTCTCGGGGCAGAGGCTAAAGGTCAACTTTAGTGGTGTTGTGTTTCTTCTAGTGAGATGGGTTCCAGGGCTCCGCGGGGTAGGGTATCGGGATTAAGGCCGGCAAGGTGAGGAAGGTCGGAGCGATACACCTGCCGCATCATCTATCTTGGCAACTGGACTCCACTTATACTTAACATCAGGTGGGGGGAGGTAATTTGTTGCGTCTCGTATCAAAAAAATTGAGCGCCAATTTATCTAATATTAATTTAGAAAATAAGAAACACCAGTTTTAGAGTTAGTATGCACTAGATCAATCAATACTCGATAAGTTACGCTTCGGATACTCCGCATACTATCCAATCAATGCATACGTCAACACAGACGCGAACTCTCGTGTCGGGCTGGGGTTTGAACAGGAGGCTGTCAACACAGCTTCGCGACCTTATTAAACTTAATCTAGGACCTCGGCGTAATCGACCCTTCTATTTTTAGAAGTGACATGAGGAAAAGGTCTTTTAGGAGATATTATATAGTCCAGCCAGCGTACGGTTATGAATAATAAAACATTCAACAGCTTTTTATGTTTTAGAGGCTATTATATTCCAATATCAATCTTACTTTTATGTTTCTTTTATTAGGTAAATACATGATAGATTACATTAAAAAAAACTGAATTAGAAGCTTTTGTGTGTGAAAAAAATAATATTTTTAACACATACTTACCAATTAGCCTAGCCCCAAAGTAAACACTGTATACTTGTGTTACGGGATACTAGGGTAACGGATAGAATACATATTATACTGATACACATAGCTCAGTATATTTATAAAGAAATACATATTTAAAACCCATGACTGGAGCACTAATGCTCCTATTTATCATACAAACATCTGTCCCCGCCGAGATTCGAACCTGGGACCTTGGTGAACGAAAATACAAACAGATTTTCTTTCTCCATTTTAGTCACAGCCACTAATTTAATTTAATAATTTCTTCATCCAATCATGTATTGACTCTTTTCATTGCAAAAGTTGACATCAATTACTTTAATCAAATTAATAGGGTAAATAGCAGGTATTTATACACATTTGTTTGAATGAATGTAAAAAGCGAAAAGTATGGGAATATTGGGGAAAATTCCTCTGTGCCCCAGCAATGAGGACATTATGGAATGATGATGATGATGATGATAGGAAAATTTGCCCAGGATTTTCAGAAAGACAAGGTGTGAAAAATTTTAACCACATAGAACCTGTATTCATGTTGCATATGAGAAGTGGTAGCTAGAAGAAATTGTCAGATACATATGTATACGAAGAACCAAATAAATACGTAAGGTAATAAAACCCTAATAAGAACATAATACGCTTTTGGTTTTGGGCGCGGGTATAGTGTGATCTATTCACATCGTCTATTAACATTTCTCATGCATTTGTAAAAAATCTCTTCGCCTCACTCTATTTTCTGATAGATAACGTAACGTTGTCTTTATGGCGCCATAAAGTAGTTATTGCTATGAGGCGATAACGGCGATTTATGACACTAGTTCATAAAGTGAGCCCTTCAAGGGTTTCGATTCGAAGCACAAAGGCGAACCCGGCCACGAGTCTTCATCTTTTTTACGTAAATAATACATCGCGTATCGTCTTAATGCTTTAAAATATATCATGAAAAAGTATTATAGGACTATGACGCTTAGACGTGCGGTCAAAATACACTTCCGGACATATAGTCCAGGAAATGAAGCATTTTGGCTCGAAATTTTTTCCTCCACCATGGATTTACTTGAAATTTTCTCAAAAGGTAGGGTACAGCTCAAGGATCATTTTCTATATCATGCCGCTGTACGCTAGAGCCTTGGGAATGGTTGCTACCCCATCTCGGGGGTAGAATTTTTTTATTACATTTTAACTGTAGGAATCGACGGAAAAAGTAATTCTAAGAAAAAAAATGTTAATTACGTGCATTTTATCAAAAAAAAGTGTAGAGAGTCCAATTTTAGCTTTTAAAAAAACGAAAACAATGCGTTTTTTATAATTTTTCTATGACAAATATGAACTGAAATACAGCAAATTAATGCTTACCTTTTTTCGTCAAATGCATAAATTGGGTTTTATTAAAACTATTTACATCAATTATATAATAATGTTCTGAAAATTGCATAGCACACTGTAGTAAAAATACTACACCTAAAGTCTAATTTCACACAAAAAGTTTGTTTAGTCTGAGAGTCATAAAATGCTGAAGTTACATTATCTGATGTTTTGAACCCTGTATACAAAGTATAAATATCTTGTTGTTCGTGTAAATATTGCAAGAATTCAATTTGGTTAGATAATTTTTCCAAGTTAATATTAATACTGCTATTTATTGTTTTATAACTTAAAGAAAAAATGGGTAAAGGCTTTGAAATTTGTACATTATTGCAGCTGTTTTTTATATTCAATACAATTTTTATCATATCGGGGAAGTGATCTGAGATAAGTTCATTTACACTTATCTCAGTGTTGCTGGTCAAACTCGCAGGGAGGTTTTGACTTGGTAAAATTCTATTAATACTAAATTATTATCAGATGCCAATACTTTAAGGCAAAAATTTATTAAAATCTGTAGCCTTCTTTTTTTTAAAGGAACTATGCAAGATTCGGCTTCCATTGCACTAATTGGAGTATAACACATGGCACCTGTGATAATAGGGGTAATGACGGGGTACAGTAAACGAAATTCTATTTAGTCCGTCAGTTAGATGATCATAAAATAATGGACACGTATTTTTTCTTTGGGCAATCAACCAAAAAATGACAAAGTTATAGCGCGTCAAAGTTTGGGAGTAGGGGCTCGTGACGTCACTTTTGAGTGAATTTTCACTTATAAGTGTACTCAAACGTGACGTCATGCGACTTTTCAAATCAATATATCTCTGCAATGTTTATATTATGTGAAAAAAGAAAAAATACGTATCCAATACTGATAAACGAAGAAAAAAAAATAGTCACCATCCCTATTCTGTTATGTCTGATTATGTCTAGTTTTCTTAAAAGACATTGGTGTTCATATATTCCACTGCTGTAATCAAAGTGGCTTCTAACTATACTTCTATAAAGCATTGATAGAATTTTGGGATCAGAGCCCCATTGTACACCAGCCAGAGATCGTAAGATATTTAGTCCATGGCTAGCACTTTTGATCAAGTGGTTAATATGCCGTTCAAATGTTAATTTCGAATCTAAATGTATTCCAAGGAACTTCTTATTATGCAGCCATCTTATAGGTACGAGTACATTATTGAACAAAACTACATGTTTCCTTGAGAAAAACATTGCTCCACTTTTTACTATGTTAATTATTAGGTTCAAACTATTATAGAAATGTTGAATTTTTGACAAACCATTGTTTAGGTTTCTAGCAACACTATTTACACGGTAGGTTTCTAACAACACTAGAACTATATCATCAGCGAAAAGAAGGCATCTTACTAATGAATCTGTTAGATAATTGTTAATTTGAGACGTGTAAACCCCAAATAATAACGGAGATATTGGGGAGCCGTGCATTGTTCCTTTATAAACATTTTTAGGACCATGTAATATGTTATTATACCTAATATACTTTGTTCTGTTATATAAAAAGTTAAAAATACATTTACAAAATTTTCCAGGTATACCATTATCACTGAGGATTTGGATGAGAATAGATAGGGTTAACGGGTTAACATTATCAAAAGCACCACAGACATCAAGAAAAGTACAATCAGTATATGAATGACTATGGAATGAATTTTTAATATTAGTAATAAGTGGCACATTATTTTCCACTGCACTTCTACCTTTTCTGAAACAAAACTGCTGTTCAGCTAAAATGTTATGTTTTTCACAATAAAACTCTAATCTCCATTAAAGCATATTTTCAAATAATTTACTAATACAAGATAAAAGAGACTTCAGCGATATGAATTGCAATTATTTTCTGGCCTATGTGCTTTTAATATTGGTATAACACATTGTGTTTTCCAACTGTTAGGGATGTACTCTTTATTCCATAGAAAATTATAATCTTTTAACAAAATGTTGAGTGCCTTAGGAAGTTTACGTATTAAATTGTAAGAAATATTATCAAGGCCAGGTGTTGTATCTTTTCTTGTTTCGGAGATGCAAAGGGTTGTATCCTTAGGACGATACGGTACGCTCATACTAGCATCAAATAAAATATGATCCGGCTCAGTCATCCGACAGAACAGAACGCTTCAACGCCGCGTGAGCGAAACGGCGAGTCCGATTCCAAGTCCGTACGGCTGAGCTGTATTGTTGTCCTTTTCTTGATAACAAAATGGCGAAAAATGGCGAATACGTAAATAACATTCACGACAAACCGTGACTTTTGAGAAAAAAATGTTTTACAGTTTTACGATTGAAAAGTGTTGCCGAGGTATTTGATTTTGAACTATTTGTGTTCTATATAAAAGCATCGAAGGCATTGTTTTATATTTATAACACATAATATACGCAATATTGTTATATTGAGTGCACATGCAGCGTGTTTGAATGTCCAATTGTGACTTTGTTGGTCGCAGATGACCATTATGGCGTCACCGGGTTTGGGGACGGCGAGATCCTGAGGAAACCTCAAGCCGAGAATTTGCGAGTGCCTCTGGAGGTATTCCAGGTGGATGGCATCGCCCCACAGGGGGGAGTCTCCTCTCCGTCTGGAGCCTCTAGACCACTCGAACCAGAGGGGGTCGGCTCAATTAGAGGGCGTCTCTGAGATTCGGACCTCGGCTCTAGTTAGCCGTTGTCGTGGGCAGCGAATTGTGATCGTGCACCACAATTTAAGCGGATCACTTTTGAGCCGCGAGTGCCGTTTCTTCCCTTTTTGTTTAAATGTAAGGTTAGTTAAATAGGATTTCTATTGCATATCTTCTGTCTTTCTTTTGACTTTACATAGACCGTATAATCAACGGCACTTTTTTTCAAAAACAGTCGAATTTAGTTGGTTTTAAAATATATTTTGTACTTATCCTCCGAAGAGTCGACAGTCCTTTTATATTTTCGCTTACGCTCGCCCTCCTCTCCGCCGCCCATTTTCACAGATGGGGTTCGCTTCTACGAATATATCTATTTACTTGTGTCATCATTATCATCATCATCATCAACCCATGCTCGTCCACTGCTGGAAATAATTTGCTTGTATATTTATTAGTAATTTACTATTAAAAGAAATAAAATTATTTAAAGAGGAAAATTTCCGCGCGCCTTATTTGACTTCCAGTCAAGAAGTTCACACCGGCGGGTACGTGGGCAGTGTTACCAGAGTTTATACAACAACAATTCTGGGGACCTTATCCCTTAGAATGCGTGTTGGGTACAGAAGTATTGTCTACTTTTTAGGGAGTAGGGCCTGGCTCATTTCTTCGAACTTCTAGAACTCTTTACTAATAAGAGTTCTAGAAGCTTATCTTAACTCTAACGAAATCATAAAGATTTAAGACCCTACTTTATACTTAAATGCCATGGTGTACATCCATTATAAATTAATCAATAGATCGAATTTCTACAATAGCAATTTTTAATTGAAAGATTTAAATAATAAAAAACTGCATACTTAGGTCCAAATTTTTAAATATAAGAAATTATTTCACCCAACATCACCCTTTGTATCTGCTCTGCCAGATCAAGAGTGTAATTCATACAGATTATTTATGATATGGTCATATCTATATCATATCTAACAGACAGTCTGTTACAAGTTACGTCAACCACTTCCTTTTCCTAAGGTTTCAAAGTTATCCTTTACTAGGAATGCTTAGTTTTGCTTTTTATGTACTTCCATTGACTTCAGCTTAGCTCAGACTTAGTACTAAAAAGCTGTAATTTGGTTGAATATACATATTAGTCACCCCAACTGAATATACATTGCTGTATATAGCTGAATGGACACAATTTTAAAATTATCACAGGAGTTGTGAAGTACCTAAATAATATATGAGGTGGTCAATAGCAAGGGCCTTATAAATAAAACTATGATAAATACAAAGTATTTTTATTACATACCCAATATAAACACAATTACATTTATTAAAATACAAACATTAATATATATCAATTGGCGGTGGTCTTCCAAATAAAAGCTTCCATGACACTGGTTCTACCAATTGAGACATTAAATCTTTCTTTTCAGAAAACAATGGCAATAAATTGGCTATATAGTGGACCATTTCATAAGCATCAGGAATATTATTTCCCTCGGAGCAATACTTATACAAGACTAAGCATGGCATTGTGTGCTCTGAGCAAATTTGAAACAATAATGATGCAAATCCACCCCCATAGATTTTTAATCCATTATCATGAAATTCATGCTCCATCCAATTCAAACGTTTTATTTCATTTTTGCGAGAGAATAATTCATTTGCCACATATCTAAATGGTGATGTTGATATATATTTCTTTTCATGAGCGAAACTGCTAGTCAAAATGACGATATCTTTAACATGCTTTTCTTTAAATTTAAGAACAACTTCATTCAAAAATGGCTTAGCATATCTATACACGAGTGGTGCTCTGATTTGCAATACGATTAAGTTTCTAGTAGCACACTTATAAACTTCGCAGCTGCTAGACAATTTTGAAGAATTCAAATCGTATGGATCATAACCCAGAACCGGTATTATTGCTGTACTGTAAACAGAAGCTATTCTAACCATATCGAAGGATGAAATTAGCAAGTCAGAAGCTAGTTGGCCGACATTTCCTACTGCCACGCTAGGAATTATCAAAGTGTATCCACTTATATCATTATCATCGAAAAATCTCCAAATATGAGTATCACTCATTTTTATTTATATCAGTTCCTGCACTTTCAATTTACTACGGTTTCAATAAAATTTTGCTAATATACACCAACAATACACTAAATCCACAGACTATTTAGATACTACGTACTAAATCAAAACAAAAGATGATTGACTTGACTTGTCACTGTTTTTTTTTTTGTTAAGTTCTCCCTTTTCAGGGAAGGCAAGGGAAACAATGCCCATACAGCGTAGTCTTAAGTTAAATTATTCTGTTTTTCTTTTTACATTAGAATGTCGGTGTGACGAACTCTGTTTTTTGAAGTGTTTGGCACGAAATGTATCGATCTGGCTTTTTCTATAAGCTTTTGTGAGGTAGTCAATACTACAATAAAATTCTCACGTCCACTTGACCGGAATAGAGTATATTTTGACAATTTAAAGATGCGCGCGCAACACTGTAACAGAAAAGTAACACCATGAAGTCGGCCGCTAAACCGCACATTACTCGTAAGGGTGCGGCCAGAGTGCACTCAGATTCAGATTCAGATTCTGTAAACAAGCTCGAGAAATAAACAGTGTAGTCTAAGCAGGTTGCCTGCTTTTTCTCGCGCTTTGTTTTCTGAGTCTGAATCTGAATCAGGAGTGCACTCTGGCCGTACCCTTCGACTACACTGTTAATTTCTCGCGCTTGTTTTCAGAATCTGAATCTGAGTGCACTCTGGCCGCACCCTAAGTCTCGAAAAAAAGCTTCCAACAAAATAGTAATAGGATCACTTAGTCGTACATGTTGGGACGCTCGTCGCCTCTGATCACTGTTTTCATATTTATAATATTTATCCACATGTTTCTAGTTTCTATATTCTTAACACGTGAAATGAAATTTATATGTGCTAATAAATTTTATTCAGTAGTGAATTTTTTTGTTAAATTCTCCCTTTTCAGGGAAGGCAAGGAGAACAATACAGCCTAGTCTTAAGTTAAATTATTCTGATTTTCTTTTTACATTAGAATGTCGGTGTGACGCATTCTAATGTTTCTTGAAGTGTTTGGCACGAAATGTATCGAGCTGGCTTTTTCGATAAGCTTCTGTGAGGTAATCAATACTACAATAAAATTCTCACGTCCACTTGACCGGAATATTTTGACGATTCTACTAATTCTTCAGTTACGCAGACAGTTGTAACACAAAATCACACCAATTTTATTACACAATATCCACTATGAACGAATTTAAGAATAATTAAATTAAGACGCCAACCAAACTCGATGAAATCCCGCCAAAAACTCCGTTATTTTTTGTTAAATTCTCCCTTTTTAGGGAAGGCAAAGAGAACAATGCCCTTATAGCCTAGTCTTAAGTTAAATTATTCTGATTTTCTTTTTACATTAGAATGTCGGTGTGACGCATTCTAATGTTCCTTGAAGTGTTTGGCACGAAATGTATCGAGCTGGCTTTTTCGATAAGCTTCTGTGAGGTAGTCAATACTACATTAAAATTCTCACGTCCACTTGACCGGAATAGCGTATATTTTGACGATTCTACTAATTCTTCAGTTACGAAGACAGTTGTAACACAAAGTCACACCAATTTTATTTCACAATATCCACTATGAACGAATTTAAGAATAATTAAAATAAGACGCCAACCACACTCGATGAAATCCCGCCAAAAACTCCCCTGTTTTTTTTTAGTTTTACGGCCAGCCGCAAGAAGCATATAAGATTGTGTATTTCTCCATGAATGATATTAAGGGTTGCCCGATCTGAATCGATTTTTGGAAGTCGATTCACGGCAATACTATCCATTAAATTTTTGAATCGTTTTAATAAGATGTAAATGTGAAATGTGATTTTTTTTTCAGAAAGTTAACCGTATATCCAAAAGATCGTATGAAAACATCGAACTTTATAGATATGGCATTAAAAATTTGTAGCCAACCGAAACCGAATTATCAGCCGAAGGATTAAAAATATATCTTTCTTTGTAAGCACTTCCATTGTTGTGATGAAGGACAGGACAGGCAGACAACAAAGTCGTATAACCTACCTAAATATCAACATTTAGTTAAAAACTGGTAATGTGTTAAATTTTTCTTTACTTAAAGAAATACCCACATTAAGATCACTCAAATATCCGATTTGTCACAATTTTATTAAAAACCCGAAAGTTGAATCAATATCGTTAATAGTGGGCCATCCACTACCGTTCATTCCTACTAGAATCTTTAATAGGTACGAATTGAATGGTTGCTCGCTCTCGCACATCGACTACCACTCAATCCGTACGGATTATACATGCCGGCAGGAATGAGCGTTAGTGGATGACCAACTAATATCTAACAAACCATGATTGCAACTCCCTAAACGAACTGGAAAATAAAATTAAAAATATTAATTATAGTCTGCCATTCTATTATCTTGTTGACAGAACGGAGCCTATGAAAATTTGTATTGTTTACGTTAAAATGTCATACAAATAATATTGTACTTCATGGACGGATACCGCCCACTTGGTGATGTGGCACACATAACGATTACTAAGATTGTGCCACAGGTTACGAAAAATCGGTTGAATAAATGAGTACAACCAAATAGGCTAGTTGACTCATGTCGAATTGTATTAAATAAATGTTTATTTTTTAAAGTATTTGGTCTAATGAACCTAAATATATCGATTTCACTTCATAAAAGCAGAAGATTGCTGTAGAAATTTAATTTAAAAAAATATTTTTTAGTCTATACTTTTTAAACACTAAAAACGCTGTTCGCCACATCCGCCATGATTGTGACGTCTCTTTTAGTAAACAACTAAATGTCATTCATACATAACTTTAAAACTAGTATTATTAAACCTGATTATAAATGAAGAGACTTAAAATATTATTCAATGAGTACTTACATCAAAGTGATCTTCGGAAAAATAAATTTTACTATGAGTCGATAAAGTTGCAGGATCACTTTTAGCAACTTCTAACCAGGTATTGCGTAGGTTAATTTCTTTCGGCACTTTAATCCACAACTTTCAAAGTAGTATCTTCAAGGATGTGTTTTTACATTCTCGTACAATACAATAATGATAATTACTATATTTTTCGTGGTATTTATTAGAAATCATGTTTTTTTTGTTATTATAAACTCAGTTATGTTATTTTTTACGAGCTTACGAATTTTTGTTTACTGCCGTCGACGTCAGAGCATAGACAATCTATAGACTAAAATGGCCCACAGCGTTTTTGTATGTCCATGAAAAGTCTATTTTAAAATTAAAGATTTGTAGCTTTCTAGGTTTCAAAAAAATACAAAAAATTTTTTTAGGTCTAATAGAACATTTATTAACCATTTACAACGTTTTTCCAAAAAGGGTCAACTAGCCTATTGTAAGGTAGAAACCAGGTAATTAAAATATTAGCATTATATAAATGTCTTCTTAGTTCTTTTTTAATTTATTCAGGCGTATCAGATTCTTCATACAAACTGGACTCATCGTCAGATGTGTCCTCGGTATTAATGATAAGTTCATTCTGTTGTATTTTGACAAGGGCAACATCTCGATCCCAGTCAGACATTATAATTTTCTTTGTTCGTTCAACGACACTCGCCCAGTTTTCAGGTGTAACATCACCACACACGTTATTTAAAAGTCCCATCATCTTGTTTGTTGTGAACGGTGGCGTAGTATTCTTTCTTGCGGCGTTTCCTTTTACTTGTGCCCATATCAGCTCAATAGCATTGTACTGTCAATGGTAAGGGAGTATGAGCACAATATTCTGCTGCCATTTCATCAATGACATACTGTTTTTGTTGTTTATTTTCATTTAAAATATTTACTAATTCTACTTTTAAGTAGGAGTCGTCCACATCCTTGCCATTAGCACGAAGCCAGTTAATAATCTCTGCTTTGGTATTTGCTTCTGTGGGCATTTTATTTATTTGCCGAGAATGATAGAGTGCGTTATCAATAAATATCACCTTCTAACGATAACAGCATTTCCCTAAACCAATTTTCGTAAACTTCCGCGTTCATTTCTTCGTGATAATCACCAGATTTTTTTGATTTGAACGTTAATAGAGCACCTGCCACAAAACCTTTTGATATTCCAGCGTGACAAATGATAAGGCGTTCGCCCAGCCGGAACAACTGTTCGACGGAGGCAACACCGGTCCACTCCCGGATATTCCGGAGCCATGACTTTTTTCTTCACCCAGCACATCTCTTTCCGTCCACTTTGCCTATCATTATCAACTGCAGCAGCATGTATCTATCGTTCCTGAGCACGTGGCCAAGATATTCTATCTTGCGCTTTTTGATAGAAGGCAACATTTTCCGGGACATATGAACGCGCTGAAGCACGGTTTCGTTCCTGACCCTCTGCGTCCAACTAATGCGTAACATGCGACGGTAACACCACATCTCGAATGCCTGTAGGCGTCTTGTAGTGTCTTCTTTCTGGGTCCACGTTTCGCAACCATACATGACAATAGGCCAGATATAGCACATGAGTAGCCTGACTCGGAGCTTTATATTCAGTTGACGACAGCAAAGAACTTTCCTTATTTTATTAAAAGAGGCTCGAGCGATTTCTATCCGGGTCTTGATTTCTTGATCCGATTCCCATTCCCATCCGCTTCATTTTGTAATAAAACAGCATAAATAATATAAAATAAGGGCGTCTAAAATAGCAAGATCATATGTTTTTTTAATATGTATTTATTAAGTCATGGTTTTTTTAGCTTCATTGAATTAACGATTTTACAACCGAAATAAAACAAATACAAAAGAAAATCAATCAGTTTGGTATTTAATGTAATAGATGTAGAGAAAATTATTGAAAAATGTGTACTTCAATGGTGTATTAAAATCGGGGTTAATTGATTGCCAGGTTTTTGGCACAATATTCTTTATACACAGTCATCCCTTAACCTGTCAGTACCTTAAGACTTCTTTCGATTTAGAATGGTTCTATGTTTTGGAAACTAATACCAAAAGGATAGAGCGCGTGAAAGTTTGGGAGAGAAGGCTTGTAAAGTCACTTCTAAGTAAAAATTGTACCAAGACGTGACGTCATGGGAAATTTCATATCAACATATCTCTGTAATGTTTTGATTATGTGAATAAGAAATAAATACTTGTCCAATACTTTTATTAATCTACCTGGCCGACGAAGAAAAAAAGG